GAAAAGAAAAGAAAAGAAAAGAAAAGAAAAGAAAAGAAAAGAAAAGAAAAGAAAAGAAAAGAAAAGAAAAGAAAAGAAAAGAAAAGAAAATGAAAATTCCAAGGGTGGGCAGAGTGAGGCTGTAGGGACGCAGCTCTTCCCACAGGATTTTTGCAGGATTTCTGCACTTCCAGTTACAAATTCTGGGCTTTGAGAAGGTAATTTGGATGTAAATATTGGGCAAAAATTGAGGAGGAAAAAATTCCTGCCTGGATCCATCCCTGGAAGGGTCCAAGGCCAGGCTGGAGCAAGCTGGGATATTGGAAGTGTCCCTGCCCATAAGATTTTTTTAAGCCCTTTCCAACCCAAACCATTCCAGGGTTCTGATTCTACAGCAAAAATGAAATAATTGTGACCATTTCTTTATGAAGGACAAAATTTATTCATAATTACTTTGCTTTAAAATGTAAAAAGTGAGAATTGCATCCAGATTTACCTTATTTGCCTGAATGACGTGGAAATCCTTGCCATAGACTTTCAGCCCTTGCTCAAAGTTCCTGCACTCCTCTTCTGTCCAAACAGACAATTCTTCTACAGCAAAATCAAAAATAAAAAGCAATCAAGAAAAGAGTTCATGAAGAAGTGACAGAAAAGATCTGGGCCCTTTCTCCAGCTGCTGATTCCATAGGAACCAGCCCAGGAATTTCACTTTTTGGTATAAAAATGGGAATTCTGCCTTGATCCTTCAGGTAAATCCAATAGTGGGGGAGCAAAATAATCTCATTTATTGCATCCCTCCTGCCCTGTGATGTGCCTCTGGTAGCTGAGCTCCCCCATGCTTTGTAATGTTATTTTTGTAAAAGAAAAGGTTTATTTGCTCCTTTATTTAAGAATATTTCACTTTATGTGTCAAGGTTTTTAACGCTACACTTTGTAAAATAAAAAATTAATTTGCTCCTTTAGTTAGAATTAACTAATTTTATGTAGCAGGGTTTGTAATGTTATTTTTGTAAAAGAAAAGGTTAATCTGCTCCTTTATTTAAGATTATTTCACTTTATGTGTCAGGGTTTTTAATGCCACTCTGCAAAATAAAAAATTAATTTGCTCCTTTAGTTAGAATTAACTCATGTATTGGGGTTTGTAATGTTATACTTTGTAAAATAAAGGGTTTATTTGCTCCTTTACTTAGGATTATTTCATTTCATGTATTAGGGTTTTTAACCTTATACTTTGTAAAATAAAGGGTTTATTTGCTCCTCTATTTAGGATTATTTCACTTTATGTGTCAAGGTTTTTAATGCCACACTCTGCAAAATAAAAAATTAATTTGCTCCTTTAGTTAGAATTAACTAATTTTATGTAGCAGGGTTTGTAATGTTATTTTTGTAAAATAAAAGGTTAATCTGCTCCTTTATTTAAGATTATTTCACTTTATGTGTCAGGGTTTTAATGCCACTCTGCAAAATAAAAAATTAATTTTCTCCTTTATTTAGAAATAACCATATATTTTATGTATGGTTTGTAATGTTATACTTTGTAAAATCAAAGGTTTATTTGCTCATTTATTGAGAATTATTTCGTTTTATGTATCAGGGTTTTTAATGCTACACTCTGCAAAATAAAAAATTAATTTGCTACTTTAGTTAGAATTAACTCATGTATTGGGGTTTGTAATGTTATACTTTGTAAAATAAAGGGTTTATTTGCTCCTTTATTTAGGATTATTTCAATTCATGTATCAGGGATTTTAACCTTATACTTTGTAAAATAAAAGGTTAATTTTCTCCTTTATTTAGAATTAATTCATTTTA